CTGTAAAGAAACTGCTTGCTCAAACAACCAGGCCATGTTATTTTTTTTTTCTTTTAAATGGAGGGTTTTTGTAGCTTTCACAAAGTTACCATGATTATCTAATTGTATATGGTGCAGGTTCTGAGAATGCCAGTCACTGCTTTGCTTCTTGACAAGGTAAGGAAACATGTCATTGTAAATAGAAGTGCTTGTCTGATATAAATATGAAAATACGTTCCTTAAAATTTTGCAGGATACTGGAAATGTTAAAGGTGTTAGATTAGCTTCAGGTCAGGATATATTTAGCCATAAGCTGGTCCTTGATCCGTCCCTTACATTGCCATTAGCCTCATCTGTATCGGATCACTTAGAAAAAAGTCTTCAAGTTTTAATTTCAAGGAAAAACAACGGAAAGGTGGCAAAGGGAATATGCATCACAAGAAGTTCTGTCAAACCAGATACATCAAACATTGTGGTGGTCTATCCTCCTAGATGTAAGATCAATATACATATTGATGGGTGGATGAAAAAACAGGGGTTTGTGATTTCGTTTGTTGAAGAGTGATTGGAGTAACAAATAAGAAAGATTTTAACTCCTTTTTTTTGGTTTTCTTCCCCTAGCTTTATTCCCTGAGCAGGTTACAACAGTCCGAGTTGTGCAGCTGGGCAGCGGTTTAGCTGTTTGTCCTTCTGGCATGTAAGTTATTTCTAGATCTTGAAAAAATATATGTTTTATTTTCTCTCTTTCCTTTGCTGTTTTCCCCTTTCATTGGATTTGATTAATTTCTTGGCCAAATGTGTTTTTGATCTTTTTTCTTCTACCAAATATCCTGTGTCCTTTCTTAATCATATTTAAACTGAAATTTCTCCTCTTTTTTTTTTTGCTAACCACACAAATTGTAGTCATCACTTTTAAAGTTCACATCATGTCTTGACATCTAGGTGGCTAATTATAGTTGCCGATTTTCTTTCAACTTCCTTGATCTGCCAATTTTCTTTTCCTTAAAATTTATATTACAAAAGCCCCATTGTGATTTATCTGTTGTTTTATGGTGAGGGATGAATCCTTTGAGCCCCTCACTTTTCTATTTTATGTTATATGGATTTCATAGGCCTAGGACAAGAATTTCTCTCCCGATCTCCTGGGGAATCTATGACTCTTAAGTTTACATAATTCATGTTTTTTCAGGTATATTTTGTATCTTTCAGCTCTGTGTGATGATGACATCCAAGGGACAAAATTACTAGATGCTGCCATGAATACTCTCTTGAAACTTCCTGTTTCTGCAGATCCAGAAAGCAGTTCTAGTGCTCAAAATGACGACGAAAAGGTGGAAAAACCTATTTTACTTTGGAGAGCACTCTATATTCAAGAGCTTACTGTGGTGAGCTTCTCACCTTGACTCTATCACAAATTTCTTCTTTATATTCTGAATTTACTGATTTATTCTTTGAGGATAGATTCCTTAGCTTGATAGCAATTTGGTGGAATAACGCAATATGTTTTTTGGATTTTTAGTTTGGATGTTGACCTCTGTTCTTACTGGTGATGCCATTTTTTCAATTAATAATTTCAGGGTCAATTTGAGACTGTTGGTTCTACTCCTATGCCAGATGGAAATTTGACCTACAATTGTATCATAGAGGCATCTTTTGAGGTGATTCATTTTTTGACCCATAAAATTGAAAGTTTAATTCGAGTTCTATGTATTATACACTATTAATGGGTTTAGTTATTGCCATGTTACATAATCTTGTCATCTTACTTATACCAGAGATTACTCTGTGCATACTCGAACACTCTTAGAAGTTCGTTTTCTTTTTATTTTTTCCTGAGAAAGAAATTTTCATGCAATTATCTACAGGGATAAAGGATGTCTCTTTCACCTTTTCTCAATTTTATTTATCAAGATTACAGAATTGGTTCATAATTCAGAAATGCTGATTAGAAATTTCCTCGCTGGTTCATAATTTTTGCAGCTATTTCAGCAAATATTTCCGAATGAAGAATTCTTTCCAGAGGCTACATCACTTGATAATCCGGAGGATGAAAGCAGTCTTAGTCTAGACACTTGAAAGAATCATAGCTGGATTTTATCAGTTTTACCAGTTTGAATCGTCTGCATCTTACATACCTGATTTTGAGAGGTAAAATGCTTACCGGAATAAACACACGGATGATCTGCTATATAAAATGCTTAAATAAGGGATGAGAAAGAGAGAAGTCCGTGGCCCTTAAATAAATTTTTAAGAATCTGGATTGGGTTGCAGAACATCGGTCAGAGCTTCTCATTGTAAGCCATAAAGGAATCCAGTTTGCTTGTTGTGAATGAATTTATTAGAAGGATACTCATTTTCCGAGTTAAAAAAAAGAACAGTCAGTCCTGGATCCTGTACTATTTTTCGTAAATGGATTGCTTTAATTTTAATTAAATTTTTTTATGGTGTTGATTTCTTTTATTGTAAGTAAAAAAGTTCTAAACATTTTTAGTTAAATCTAATTCCGAATAATTTTACAAATAAAAGTCATTTCTTCAAAGTATATAGCCTGACTCGAGTTTCTTGTAGTTTATCTATTTAAGTTGCATGTAGTTTTTAGTGGTATTATTATGTCACAAGTGAGGAATGATCTTAAACCACTTGTTATATGTTCTTCTGCACATTGAGGCCTTTCATCTAACAGTTAAATTATTTTCTTTCTAATCAGATATTTATTCTATTTTTACTGAAGGAATTTTGTTAAACCACGACCTACGCTGTGTGTGTGTATTAAAACTGAGCAGCAGCCTTGATCACACTGTTTGTGAGAACTTCTAATGCATATACGTAAAGAGTCCCGAGAGTGCGTGTACGATTGTGGTGTATACATAATATACGAAAACTTCTTCGTTCCACATCGCTCTCTACAAAATGAAAGTATTTTTTCCAACACAGAACCCCTACTAACAACACTTGGACCGGGTGAAACTTTAGTTACATAAAATATATATACATATATATTAGCAACGCTGGTGCATTACGGCTTGTCATTTACTACAGGACCTGCGATACATGGGGTGCAACCCATTTGATGCCTACAGGACACGTGATCCTCCAAGAAAACCGACCTTTCCGGCATGGTCGTCGGATTATGAATGTCTTACTGGCCTGCATGATATTTGCCTTTGTAATTTCATGGCCGTTTCATTTTAAAGTACTATCATGAATTCAGGACAAACTTTTTGGCATTTTCTCCTTCTGAGAGTTTCTACAAGACGTTTAACTTTCAAATAGAAAAATACTAAACAGGCAGTAGCCAATCTGGTGGGTGCTATAATTTCAAATAGAAACTTTAACTGATGTTTGAAAGACAACATATTGATCAACATTCTAAACATATAATCTAACGCTAAAGGAAATTTAAGCACATCAATGGAAGATTTGCCTTAAAACAAGAAAATGTTTACATGCACAGCTGACTGAAAATCTACTATAATACCAAGAGAAAGCATTGAAATAAGTCATCACTGTCTTGATCTTGACTCAGCCCGTCGAGCTTCATCTGGCGTTGATGGGAACAGCTCGATATACCTTGACCCAATTGTCATCTTGTCCTTGGACATTGCTCTCTTTGCCTCATCAGGAGAAACAAACTCAACGTATGCCTCCCCAGTAGCTTTCCCATCTGGGCGGCATGCAATGTGTAACCTCTCTTCTATCAGCTTGAATTCACTAAAAAATTCAAGGATCTGAGATTTCTTAACTGAATATGGAAGGCCACGCATCTTCAATATCTCCGTGTACTCCAACTGCTCCTTATCACTGAATCTCTTGGCCCTAGATGGTGGAGGACTTCCATGGAAATCATTGTCATAAATTCCTTCATAATTTACCTCAGCAGCCACGGCACTGTAATAATCCTGCCTCTTGGACCTAAAAACTTCAACGTACCTGCGACCCATATTTTGTCGATCTCTTTGTAAGGCAATCTCAACCTGCATGGGCCCCGCAAAAACAACAAATGCCTCTCCCGAAAATCGTCCATTCTTGTTGACCAGCAGCACATCTACAATATCCAGCCCGGCAAAGAACTTGGAAATGTCAATATCAGTGCAGTTGAAAGGAAGTCCCCTCAGACGAACCACCGGGAAGGGAGGAAGCTGAAAGCCAGCACCGTAGCTGTAAGGTTGAAAGCCACTCGCCCCACTGCCAACTGCGAAGTAGGGATTTGATTCCATCATTCTTTGTCTCTTTGAGCCGACCTCGTACCCGTCCGAAACCCCCCCGCTTCCCAACATTGCCCTTCAATTATTCATACCCAAAAAAGAAAATCCCCCACTCAACCTGTTAATAAACCAAACCCAACCCACAGTTCCCTGACTCCTATTGACTCTACTCCTATTTTTCTATTGTCAAAGCAATTACCATATCTCATTCCTCTTAAAAGCAAACAAGCATATGCAAACTATATGAAAAACATAGCAGAGAAGTGGACTCTCAAGCAATATTAACAAATAACAAGGTCAGAAACCAACTAATGCTACGTGAAGGGACAATACTTTAAGCTTCCGTCTGCCATACAACAAACACAGGCATGCTAGTGTAGCAAGCTCTAAAAAGAGCGATTAGCCCATGAAACATTCGATATATATAGCCATTATGTGTGACATGACAAGCAAAAAAGGCTTGTATTATTGAAATTAATACAACAACATTATAGGTAAAATATGAAGAGATCTATAACAAAAGAAAAAAGTTCATATTTGCAAGAATTGTGTTATGATACAAAGCATCAAACATAAGTCAGTTATGCTTCACTGTTTAATCCAAGGGGAATATCAGAAGATCTACAGCAATTGAAATACCATCCCTCCCAAAAGCAACAAAACACAGGCTAAAAACCTCTGCAACTTTTCGTACTTGGTGTACTCTAAAAAAATGATACATAAACTCTTAGATGTGATAGTTCCACGTCTCTGTTTATTTTTTCCTTTTATTTTTTAAAACATTTAACAGCTAGCTCGTCACTAAGAGGACTTTTTTCGTCGACGCAGCAGATCAACTCAGAAAAATTATTAAACTTCTTCCACAAGTCAGCCATTCTCCTAGAAGACATTATCAATTTCCAAACAAATATAAAAATGCCATGTCACCATAGCTACAGATTTAATTTTTTACTTTAGTTTATTTGTATTCGTTTTGTTTCTATTTTAAACAGTGTTAGAATTATTCATTCTTTGTTCAAAATGTGCTCTGAATTGCTTTTTAGTTTAACTTCTATTAAATATATTGTCGGAACAGATTTGTATCAGAGGTGCCATCACTCTAGTAATCTCTTATTCACGGTTATATTGGAGCTATAAGCATCCTTACGTGATGCAAACAGACACAGAAAGAAATCCTATATATCACAACTAGGTTTAACCCCAACAGCCAAGTTAGCACTTATAACTTAGAAAAAGGTCTCTGAAGAGGAAAAAAAGGAACCAATGATTGGAACGATGATTAAAATTGGATTATCATAACTCTAAAAGATAGACCAGGTGAAAAATGAACAAAGACAAATCAGAGACATATGATTTATTCCCTAACAACTGAATACAGATAATCGATTTCGAGGTACAAAATCGACTAGAAAGAAAATCGCGAGAAACAAACAGGAAAAATCATAGAAAATACGGGATATTTCAACTTACCCTCTCGGTCCGTACATGGCTTTGCCTCTGAGAAGAAGAACTCTTGAAAAGTCTCCCCAAACTGATAGATTTGGGAACTGGTGAGGCGACGATGGATGGAGAAAGACAAAAGTAAAAAGCCCTAACGAAGATTCTTCGCGGGCGGAGAAAGAGAGAAGAGACTTTATTATAGGGTTAGGTTAGAATAAATTTTAGGCCCCTGAACTTGCTATATTTCGTTTTGGGCTTTTAAAACGTTTGGGCCTGACCCAAAAATATCCAGGCCCGGAAGAAATCCTTACTCCTCCAGGAAATCAGGGAAGGAAAAGGTAGCCGTTAGAGGAAACAAGATCTTAATAGATACTGCCATTACTGGAGAAGAAAGCTTATAAAATCTCTCTCTCCCTGTTTCTCACTTTCCATCTCCGACTTCTGCGTTGGTCACCATGGAACCTTCAACTCCAAACCTGAGCGCAAAACCCATAAAGAAACGAAACCGATCACTCCACTTCATCTCCAACAAGGACGCGAGAAAAGCTAGTTTAAAAAAGAGACAACCGACTCTCAAACTTAAAGCTCAACAACTTTCAACACTATGTGACGTCCCTGTTTGCTTGTTGTGCTTTGATCCAGACGGTAAGCTTGATACATGGCCAGAAAACCAAGCGCAGGTGAGAGAAATCATTATGAATTACAAGAATAGTATTGATCCTGATGATCGGGCAGGAAAAGGGAGTGAACACATGGATCTTTTGTCTTTCTTGGAAGCCAAGAAGAAAAGGCTTGAAGAAGAGAAGAACGAGATTAATAGACTGAAGGAGACAGATAGTAGTTGGGATCACAGGCTTGATGAATTGCCGGAGGCAGAGTTGATTAATCTGGTTGGTCGCTTGGATTCCACCCTGCAAAGATTGAGAGAAAGAAGAGATCACTTGCTTCATAACAATAATCATCCATCTGATAATTTTACAGTAACTGGGTGTAATGAGAATCTGGGTAGCCTGCAAAGTTTTGGTTCAGCGTATGAGAATATCAACAATGGCGGCTCTGGTTATAATTTTGTTCCCAGTGGCGATATGCAGGTGATGCTTGAATACCAGTCGATGGTAACGCCATTGCATGAAGCTTTGCTGCCTTTGTTTCCTAATAATCCGGCAATGCTAATGATGCCGCCTCGAGCAGCTTTGCCACCATTGTTTCCTAATAATCCAGCGACGCTAATGGCGCCTCCTCAAGCCGCTTTGCCACTTTCATGGTGGCCGCCGCATGCAGCAGGAAACTAAAAGCAATGTTCAAAGGACTCCATTCTTGCAAGTTAATTAGTTTTTTTCCAATTAGTTGTTATGGTTTTTTCAACTCTGAACTCCAACATATTAGATTCCTACATTGAGAGATTTTTAATTACAGTGTTAAACTCATCGTTTTCATGAGAAGGAATTTTTGTTATCTAGGAAATTAAATTTGATAAGAGGAGATAGTATTTTAGTATGTTAATTACATATAATAATTAGGATAGTTACAAAAATTAATTACATATCGGTTAATTATAGTTAGATCAAGCACTAGTTTTAGTAAATGTATATATGTATTCTACAATTAAACAAAATTATATTTATATATATATATATTCAACAGATTATAATCAGCATTGTTAAAATCCTTATAAATTAATTACATATAAAGTTACGAAAATTAATTCCATATCATTTTTAAAAACTAATTTAAGTACATTAAAATTTGATTTAATAATTAACCATTAACAGAGTCCAAAATATATATAAAGAAATTATTATGAAATCCTCAATAATTCCGTAAATTTTTAATTATTATATTACAAATAACAATGATAAATTTCAATTATTACGAACACATTTGTTCTAATAAATCAATTTTCACTGTCCTGCAATTCAAAACTATTTTATCTAATTAATTTTTGAAAATTTTAGCAACTGGTGGGTTATATATTATTGAAATAATTATATACAATTATAATTAGTTGAATATTTACATGTTTACGTTTAATAAAATTTCAGTTTAATCTAATTGAAAACACATTAATTCCATTATCAATTTTAATGAATTAATAATCAATATAAGATGTATTAAGTTAAGATATAAGATAATTTTGTATATCCTGAATATAAATTATGATATGAAAGTATGCAATATATATATATTACCTTTTCATAATTTACTAATGTAACTCTCAAATTGCTTTTACTCTACGGGATAATTTAATTACTTCAACAAAAAAAAAAAAAAACATTAGGGTAAATTTTTGCATATGATCATTAGTTTCGATATTAGTAAAAAAATAAATATAAATAAATTTATTAAAGTTATTTCTAAAAATATTGATTCATTTTTTATTGAAATAATGTATTATAAAATTTTATTACTTTTTGTATATTTTACAATTATTATCACGATTTGAATATTAATATTATGTATAAATATTTATAAATAAAAATAATGGATTATTTTTTTGAGATATACCCAATTTTTTTACTAATTTATCATATAAGATTAAAAAAAAAAAATCGAAATGCAGAAAGGACAAGTAAAAAATAAAATAATATTAACAATAATACATATTTTTATTTAAGAAACATCAAGACATACATTGAATTAACGTCGTAATAATATTTGATTTCAATCGTGCTTTAATCAAATTAATCTTCAAATTGGAGGCTTATGGGCATGTAATAGGTCAAATTTAAATAATTTGAATTAAAATATAGGTTTATGATTTTATTTTAATTAATTATTCAAAATTATTTATAATTTGGTCATTGTTTTCTACTTTTAATTTTTTAATCTATCAAAATTAAGTTATGTATTTTAGATTATAATTAATAAATCCATTATAATAAACATGTTTTAGTTTGCTTCCAAAATTACTATTAGAAATTTAAAATGACGAAAGTTATTTTAATTATAAAAAATTATCATTTCGTTATCAATTTTAAAACACATATTAACTTGTATATTTTTTTATTAAATTAAATATTATTAAATGTCATCGCAAAACATCATTAAATAAATAAATAACAAGAAATATTTATGATTTGTATAAAAATAAAATAACCTGGAAATTAAATGAAGAAAAATAGTAATTATGATTATTAAATTAATTAAAATTCAAAACAAAATTAAACTAAATTAATTTAGTTGGTGCGTGTAAAAAGTAACAATAAGCAGATACTGTTGGATTAACGGGGAACAACCAATACAGTGAAGCAAGCGGATCGATGACGTGGCAAAATCTTTTCGAATCCCGCCTAAACGCGGACTTATTTATGACTTTCGATTTCAAGTATTTGATTTGGAAACTTTGATTCGTGTTTTGCCCCAAAACACCCCTCGGACGGAAGCCAAAAAAGCCCACCTATTATACGCGAATTAAACACCAAATCACAAGATAGAGAGAGCAATTTCTTCTTCCGCCCTCCGTTTCTTCTTCTTCCTCGAAAACCCTAACCCAATTTAAGGTACTTTTCTCTACCCGCGCCGCTGTTTCCGTTTCTTTTCCACCGTTTCTCGAACGATTCTCACCCGCTTCTATCGGTTCTATTGCAGGATTCGCCATGAAAGGTGGTAAATCAAAGGCCGACTCTACGAAAACCGATGCCAGGTAAGGTTTTTACCCGCTTAATATGCCAGGTTCTATTTATTGTAGCATGAAATCAGATCTCTGACCTATGAAAATGTTATTTGTCGCCGCATGCATGTTTATTCGTGTGTTTTTTTTTTTTTTTTGTTTTTGTATTTGTTTTCAGGTTAAAAGGTAAAAGTACTGGAGCGGGAAAAAGAGGTGGAAAGAAGGAGAAGGATCCAAACAAGCCAAAAAGGCCTCCCAGTGCTTTCTTCGTTTTCATGTAGGCAATCTCTTTGAGAAATTTGTATAGATTCGTTTTCTCATTTCCCCTTACATTTTCTTTTTCTTTAAAATTTAACGGTTATAGTTTCTCGAATATTTTTCCTGATCAATTTTGTCGGTGCTTGAAGGGAGGAGTTTAGGAAGCAGTTCAAAGAGGCGCATCCTGAGAATAGATCCGTCTCTGTTGTGAGTAATCCTCACTTCACGAATAACTTCCTTTTCTTTTAATGCGTTTAAATTTAAAACTAATACGCGAATGATTTCAATGAGTCAGGTGGGCAAAGCTGCTGGAGAAAAATGGAAATCTATGACCGCCGCTGTAAGTGTTTTCTCATGAATTATTTTTGCTTTATATTTATCAGATTCAACGCAATTGTATTCCCGATAATTAGTTCATAGCTATCTTATTTAACATCTCCGTTAATAAATCCAGGAGAAAGCCCCTTTTGTAGCAAAGTCAGAGAAAAGGAAGGCAGAATACAACAAGAAGATGCAAACTTATAATAGGAAATTGGTAATTGTCCAAATATCGTATTGACTTTTCTGATTTTTTTTTTTTCCTGTTCATTTGGTATTGTGTGTTAGATAACGGTATATATATGTACACCTCTTTGGTGCGTGATTCTGAATTATGCGTCATCCTTTTAGGCTGGGGGAGCGAATGAAGCCGAGGATGATGAGTCTGACAAGTCCAAGTCTGAGGTTCATGACGAGGAGGAAGAGGAGGGAAGTGGAGAGGTTTGTTTTGGATTAACGCTTACCTTTTAGGAACTTTAGATAATTATATTGCAAGTAGCTTTTAAAGTTTGTTTGGAAGTAAATAGCCAGTTTGTTTCTTGTAGGATGATGAAGAGTAGATGAAGGCAATGGAGGTGTAAGTTGGAGGGGGGAATGGGCGATCAATTTATATCTTCTCTACAGTCTACAACTTAGGATGATGACATAGAAACTGGACATTTACTCTTATCATGATCATTCTGCAACTTCTGTTTAGAATAGGTTAGGGAAAAAAATTGATTTCAGGGTTTCCCTAATTCTTGTTCAGATGGGTTAATACTTAAATTTCATAATGATAATGAATTAGTTTTAGCTTAATCTCATTTTTGCATATACTGCAAGTGCATTTGTTTTGTCAATCACCCTCACATGTTAACTATTTTTTTCAATTCTCTTTCATACATAATTGAAAGATATCCATTTAGGTTCTAGTTTCTGTCAGCAGCTGTAACTGTTTTTATTAGCTGACAAAATCTGTGATTCCGAGGCCATTCGGGGGCATAAAGAGATGATGGTTTGAATGGCTTTTTATCCACATCTTTTGTCTTTGTTTTTTTCTCCTTGTTTTTAGCGTAAATAATTTTTCCCCTGATATTTTAAGAGTATTTCCCTTGTTAAAATATAGATAACAAATTATATTTTTTTAAATCAGCTTTAGCTTATGAACAATATATTGATTTAAGATCCTATTAATATTAGAGATCTTGTGATCAAATTTTATGAACATCAGTTTTCATTTTCCTTTTACTTCTTCATTTCTGCTCTTTTAGTCTTTTTGAATTTGAATGCACATCTGAGTATTGTTTGCGCATGAGAAAATCTATAAGTATGTAAAAAAGTTGCTCTTTTTACTTATTTTAAAATTTTAATACAATCGAGCTAATTTATTATTTAAATAAATAAAATTCTGCCCTTTTTCTTTAATTTTGTGTGCTCATGATGTGACCATTTGAGAAATTATTCTGAATCTTTGGAAAATTAGTTAATTATTCAAAGCAGACGCCCAATGATGGGAAACATATTCACTCTGAGCTTCTTCATTGTCATCACTATTGTCATAATTTTCATCATAATCTCTTTCTTTGTGTTTTCTATGTATCTAGCAAAGAACTCGGTTCGGTTGAATCTATGATGATTACCTACTTTATGCCAAACGCCTTTTGTTTTATTCTTTCCCTGTTTGATGATGATGATAGTCGTGGGGATTGGTCTGGATCCCATGTAAATGGTATATTATTGACCTTTTTATTCTTTGGAAGTTGGAAGTCGGGTATATTCTATAAAGACCTGTTTGGTTTCCTCTGATTATGGAACAGAGAGGGGGGAAGCTCCAAAGCCCAGAAGCTTGTACTTAATTGATCTGGAACAAGGTAGAATAAGAGATTTTTTAGGGAAAATTTAGGGTCCTCTACGGGGGGAATGCTTAGGAGACATTATGTTTCCAAAAGTATTACTCTAGAGACATTGGAATGATGCAAAAACATGACTAATTTCAGTCTACTTTTTAAACCTACTTATAAAAACATGATTATATGCAGGCCATTAAAATTAACAACTAAAATACATAAAACAAAAAAATGTTGGCGAATTCTATATACATTGCTGAAGGAATTCCAGTCCACGCCCGTGAAAGTGCCTCCAGCTTGTGATTCAAAAGCATCTCTCTAATCTTCGGTGCGCATTTTCAAGTTTTTTAGTATCCCATGATTTGAGTTCTTTTGCCCCGCACTCAGTTTTCATCACAACCCTCTGTTCCAGCTTCCCGATCTGTCGGCACCAGCCTCCGTTTGTCTGCCTTCAGTATTCAAATACAAAGGTTGTATACTGGTGCATTATTCTGATTCGGGCAGCTGTTGATGCTCGGCATGCGGACTTTTACTTTTGATGGTTTTGCCTGCATCATAATTATGTGATTCTTTTTGTTCTTGACTTTTATTTGTTAGAATGGACTGCAATTTACGGCTTATCGAGCCAGTTGACAACCTTATTATTTATTTTGTGCTATAAGGGAGAACTGTTTTTTGTGGGGTTCTCGGTGTGTGGTGGTTTTTATTTATTTAAGAATATGGAAGAAGCGTAGGGACAGAAGAAGAAAATTACCCAAGGATAAAACTGATCTTTCATGTAAATAATTAAGGGTAAAATTGCTATTTGATTTTAAAAGAAATATTAGTTTATCTTTGTGAATGCACAAACTTAATCAAATTATGTTTTTGTATAATTTTAATATTGAGTCATGTTTTTGTTTTTGTAAAATATGCTAAGCTTTTTAATTTTTTATAATTTGTCATTTATATTAATTTAGTACTTTTCTGTAATTGTCTAAATTATAAGAATTGTAAATTAAATCATTCACCTAAATCATAATCTCTTTTCTTCTCTTTTTTTTTTTTCCTGAATTGCAATGACTTATTATTACTTATCTCGGATAAAAAGATAACCCAACCTGGTGCTGACTATTAGTATATCCACGATTAGAATAGAACTTAGGACCTCAGCGGATTAAACCTCGAACAAGCCCTTTCCGCGAAATGAAAAACTAGACGACTCAGTCGAGGAAAAAGAAAGAATGGCAGGTTCAGGAAAATGTCTCCTGGTTACAGGCTCTCCTGTAAGTGTGAAAATCTCACTCCGGATTTTCTTCTTTTTTTCCTGAATAATCTCTTCGTTTCTCCAAAATTTGAAAAATGAAGAATCATTGGACCGTAATATGATGGGCAGGGAGTAGGCAAAACGACACTGATCATGAGAGTATTCGAGAGTCTTAAACTCTCAAACCCTAACTTAAAAGCTCAGGGCTTCTACACTCGTATGCTCTCTCTCCCACCATCTTCTGTTATATGCACATACTTATAATTTTTCTTTTTGGCATTCATGTAATGAGCATTTAGTCGATGATGACGATTCATGGCTGATGACTTGCTTTCTGTCGGGAAAATTTAGGAGAGATTAGAGAAGGAGGCGAGAGAGTTGGATTTGAGGTGGTTACCGTAGATGGTCGCAGAGGTCAACTCGCCTCCTCCACTGTTTCTAGGTCAGTCACTCATCTTTCTTGTTTGTCTTGGTAACGTATGTGTTTTGATTGCCGATTTTTCTTCAATTTCATATTGTTCTAGATGTTCTTTTTTCGGATTTACTCTTTTTACAATGTCAGTGCAGAGTCCCACAGATGGCCTAATGTTGGCAAATACAGAGTCAACATAGCATCATTTGAGTCACTGGCATTACCTGAGCTGCAGGTAGGGGTTTCTCATATTCTCCGTGTCTTATGATTGAATAGATTGTGTAATGTGGTTGTGGTTTAGGACCCTCCTGGAAAGGGAAAAGAGGGGATGGTGAACTTTATAGGTCATTCACTCTATATTTCTACTTATAGATTTATCCGAAATCTGATTTGAATCCAATATAGCATCTATTAGTACATAAAAAATATATTAAATCGATTCTTTTTAATGAATAGGTCTTATCGCAACTTCGAATATGGAATTCAAATGGTTCAAATCGGAAATGATACTCTGAATCATAGAACTATAATGAAATATACGATTAACCAACATTTATCGAATTTGAATGGTTCGATTCTCTTATTTTTTTTTCTTGAACTGAGATATCCGTAAATCAGGATCTTAATGCATATAGATAAATATGGTCCAATGGGAGCAAGAATTTCCAGGAATGTTCAAACAATACATAACTTCTTTGCTTCTGGATTGCTCATTTTGTTGAGTTGGGCTATCTTCCTTCAGTCATTTATGTCATTCTTGGATGTATTTTTTGTTATCAGATTAAAGAAGATACTAATCTCTTCATCATTGATGAAGTTGGTAAAATGGAATTGTATAGTTCATCATTCTTCCCCGCTGTTCTAAGAGTTCTGGAATCAAATATCCCTGTTCTGGCTTCCGTTCCTGTTCCAAGGTTTGGCAGAGATATACCTGGAGGTACATTTTTTTCTGACACGTCCAATCTTTGTGTCCTAGAAACTCAGGGAAATTATATGGTGCGTCGAAGGCATTGTCCTTCCTTGGTCTTAATGTTCTAACATTTGATAGTGTTTTAGTAACTTTATTTTTATCTAATATTACGTAATTATTTGTTTCTTAAGTGACACTTAAAGATTACTGTATAGAATTAGTTAATTACTATAAAATATTAGAAAATTATCGTGAAGCATAATGTTAAAAAATCTCTCCTAACCATCAAGTGCCACGCAGAAACTCATTGTAAGTAACAATGATAATTTGCCCAACTGAGATTTTAGAATTGAAAAGACAATGAGTTGATGCAAGTAATAGTAACCCCATTGGCCTTTTTGGCATCTAAACTTTTGCAGTTGCAAGGCTGAAAAATCATCCAGGGGCAACCATATTCGCTCTGAACCCAAGTAATGGGGATGCCATTAGAGAAGAAATCTATCTTCAGCTGGTGGAATTACTGCAAAATCGTTAGATGCTACAATATTTTCAGGTTAACGCTTTCATCATGTCCGAGGTTCTCATGCAGCTTGCTTTCTGCCTTTTTGTTTATCTCAAAAAGAAAAAGAACACTTTCGTGATGTCCACTGCTCTCTTTGGAGGGATGAAAAATCCTTCTTTTGCGATTCAGATCTGTTCCCAAGTTGCTTCTTTGCATGGTCTGTGCAAACTGCTGTGGCACCAAGCTTCAAGGTGCAGACTTCTGTAGATTTTGAGGAAGCAATTTTAGATTTTATAACAATGTAAGTAAAACCTCTGATGAATATGGTGGTTGAACTTCTCTGGTGCCTTCGTTTCCAATTTCTTATCTTTTATTTTTTTAAACTATGTATCTTTTTATCGTATTTTTAATTAACATCGTGTTGTTGGTTTTTTTTTATTTGAAGAAAATCTATGATTCTAATTCTATATTGTAAACTTTTAGTATTTTATAGTAATTTGCAATCTCATATAGGCATAATAACTCCAAGACTCCATAATTAGACCCTCTTTTTGGTCACGGAAATTCAGAGTTCCATCAAGTGAAACATATTTTGACTGAGAAAGTAACTATCTGCCTCCCAAAAATATGTTCTATTAAAATTGATAAAATTTGATGCATTGAATACAATAAAAAACATAAGAAAACACAGTACTGACTGTAAATAACTATTGACGTGGAAATCAATGAGCAAATATGTACAAAAGAATACAAAGAAAAAGAAAAACTGAAGATCGACATATTTACTGCTCAATGGACAACAGTATAATAAAAGCAGGTAAGGCCATCATCAGCTTCGTTTGTCCTGCTCTGCAGTTCGTAGCAGCTCTTTGGCCATAGCTGAGAAGGACCTTGCAGTGTCCTGCATATCACTAGTTTTCAAACTGATTCCCTGTGTGTACCAAAGTAATGATATTCAGTACCTTTTAATAGCCTCTAAAGCTCAAAAACCTGGCAATTTTCTGGTCTCAAGCCAGAGAAAGCTTTGCTGGGAAAATGAAAAATAAAGCATGCCCAACGAGAAGTTCGGGAAAGATGAGGATATAAGATTTGATATATAAGGATTTGGAGCAGCATTCGAGAAGTACCTGGAGCTTTTTGACGTTCTCATGCAGTTTGCTTTCTGCCATTTTGGCGAAGCTAGATTCCTGCAGTGTCAGACACAAAAAGAGAATGCTCTCTTATTTACTCTATTCTCAAGATGGTAATGTTATAATTATGTTGATTAATTCTAGTTTAAACTGTCTGACATAGCAGTGAAAAACACTGGTAGAACACAAGGATGACACATGCGATCAGAAAGTACTTACACCAGACAAAGAAAATCCATATTTCTTCTTGATTTGATTAACTGCACTGTCTCTGTCATCTTCTTGCTCGTCTTTTCTCACATTTTCCTCATTCTTTACCTTCTTCTGCTTAAATTTTCCTGAAAATCCTTTGTGTGTTTTCGTTTACAGACAGTCAGCAGTACAAAACGTAAATTGCTACAATCACCAAATCAGAAAAAGACTTCGAAAACATCATGGGTCACATGTAAGATGATCTATCTTCTTTAACTGACCTTTGAAAGACTGAAGTTTGGTTGCCAGTTTCTGTTTGTTAAGAGCTGCCAACATATTCTGTTCTTTGGGTTTCTCGCCAGGATTATCGATGTCAATGTCATCTTTGCATAGAGGAGCAAAGAAAGGTATAAAGATCCAAAACATGTGGTTGACTATTATAATATGCATCAGTCCAGAAAACAGGATAGCCAGATAATTGTATCTGTTGTTCACATGAGATACCTATGTTTAACTCTAACTCTTCATCTGTATAATCTTTATTCTCAATATTGCTTGGAAAATTCTCTGTTGAAAAAATTGTTGAGAGTTCTCCAATACTTTCTTTGCTGTCCTCCGTTTCTATATCTGGTACCTGCTTTGTTTTACTTCCTTTCATGTCTTTAAGAACGGAGCCAAATATTCCCTGGCAATTGTTTACTAATTAGCTCCAGGAACTTTAAAATTCAAACAGCTCAATCTACTATTTACCTTCCTTTTCTCTTTTGGGGTTAAGGGTCCAGATGCAAGACACTCTTGAGACCCCATTAGGTCCTTCCTGTAGACTTGACCAACAGACTCAGAAAGCCTACATACATGAATGGAAGCACTAAAATGATTAAACTACACAAAATATTCTCCTCAGAATTTTCCATCAAATCCATCTTCTTGCATACTGAATCACAAAAATGATGCAAACTAATTTTTTTAGATTCTGAGCCAAAACCATATAGTGATAGAGAGTGATGCAAGAGATAATATGTAAGCCATTAAAGATCCTCATAATTGACTAGTGAGACACATACGAGTAACATAAATGAACAGAATTGATTCTGATTTTCTAATCCAAAACTATGAAATAATAGGTAGAGCAACTCGATGGATATATAAGTTATTAATCATTATAGCTTCCCATATTTGGTCACTGTAGAATCAGCATCTCTAATAGTTTCAAGTGCATGTAAATACCTGAAGTTCTGCTTCTGGGGCAGAACTGACATGACAAAGAGTTCCTGATCACCATTCAACTGCAGAAAAGGGGGAAGTACTTGGATAAATATGGCCAAATTATTATGCTATTGAAAATTGTAGAACCATGCGTACCATAACAAGATCACCATCCACCGAGGAGCATATTATATTGTCTGATAATGAATTTGATTTTGGTGGAGAGTATGAGAAGCCTCGAATAGAAGTTTCCTTTAATAGGGCTAACTCTGGAAGGGACCTAATATTCCATGAAAATAGCGGTCATCCATCAAACCTTTAAATCAAATATAGGTATGTACACCCATACAACAAATGAGATTTCCATATTTGGAGGGGTCCCCCAAATTCTTAATCATATTAAAAATTTGAAAAGAGGCCCTACTGTAACTAAAAGTAAATATATAATAAAAAAGGAGTATACCATAGCTAAAACAATTCAGGAAAGGATAATCACCTTTACCATTCTGATTAATAAGAAAACTACAATGTCTTAATCTTATTGAAGATCTGGAAGAAATAAACCAGAACATTTATTACCTTATCTCAATTTTTCCACTACTGAAAAGGAGTATAAGGCCCATATCAGAGGCGCTGCAGAATGTTGATGCCCAGCAACAAGAAGAGGAGTGGAACTTCTTCTTCTGGTGCACCCTCTTAACACCCTAAGACGTAAAACAGACACATGAAAAATGGAAGGTCAATGAAGAAGGTAAAAAAGAAATAATGATTATAATCCACAGTTAGCAGGTCACAAACACATGGAGATTGTACATACATGAATAGACAACGAAAAAATTACCTGGAGAATGTGAACCAAGGAATAGACATAAACAGCTTTTTCAGAACATAGCAGTAGATGTGACTGCTTTGGTGTAACATCCTCAGTAAGATTCCCTCTGTTTAAGTCCAGACTGTCTGACGTATTTGAACTTTTAGCAAATGATTCTCGTCCATCTGCAAAATATAGAAGATCTCATTCTCCAGTTAGATTCTTCGACAATTTCTGTAGTGCATTTCCTATTAATTGATATGTAAATGTGTAGTTGAATCTACAAAATATGGAAATTCAATAGATTGACTTGGCCCTCATCTAAGAAACTAAAGACAGTTTGAGCCTACCTAAGATCTGCATGAACAAAGCTCTGGAAGGTTTCTTTGGACAAACCATGCTAGTGCTAAGCATGTTTCCATTGTCACTATCAAGAGCCAGAACTGATGAATCCCTGGTCGCAACCACCAAAACATTCTTCTCAAAACCTTGCAAACTGCAGGTTCCAAACTGCAAAGATATGATGCCTAGGCAGATTTCGCTTGCAATATGCTTTTCGCATAGTAAAGTTGGCCCCTCAATGTCAACTATTAAAACCTGTATTAAATATGGGTTAAAATACATGGGATTGGCATATCCTCTCGATGTGACCTAATAATCTGATGAACAAAGTTACACTAGAAGCAAAAGGAGATTACTTTGCAGCATCAAGGAAAACAATGATAACTTCAACTGCACGAGTATTTTGTAGCACAAATTATCTTGACTCAAAATACTAAAAAGAGAAAGTAGCCACAAAAAAGTGAGCTTACATATCCTTGATCTGATCCAACTGCAAGATGTCTTGAACCGTGACTTGTGGCTAGAGCAATTACAGGACCCTTAACCTTGATATGTTTAAGGCTTTGGATAATGTGATTATTCCCTTTCTTTGTATTTTCTGATGCAAAACATTAAGGAATGAGAAAGTGGAAAACAACAATATTGAAGTCACCATGAGAGCTTTTGCAACACTTGATTGCATGAAGATGTGAAACATGAATGCTACATCATGACTGGTAGGTATCTAAATAATATTATATATAACATGCAAATGATTTTCATATCCCGATTATTTTTCACTGTACCTTGGAATAACATAAAACTGTTCTCTGTTGCATAGGGCTCAGGTTTTAATTTGTAGATGCAAACCTGTAGATGGTTATATAATTAGATACTGTTAAAGAAAGAATCTGGACGTACTTTGTTAAGTTAAGCCATTAAAATGCACTTCACCATTCCACTGTGATCTCCCGAAAGAAGAACTCGAGAGTTTCCATCATAATACAATGCTGTTAATGCAGCGCCATTTGAAGAATAGTCTTCAGTCTGCCACCAAAGATCCAGATTAATAACTCATGGACCATTTGCTCTTAGTCTGCGTTGGAAACAGAAGTCAGAAACAATACCTGTTGCTTTAATGATAACAGAGGGATGAAAAATGGACATGTCACATCCCAGAAGTTGATGGTTCCATCTCTGTGTCCAGTAATGTATAGATTTTTAATCTTTGTAAACCCACTGAAGGGATAAGTTCCATCTTTTGCCTTCGTCTCAAAGTGCAAAAGTGATGGAATACTTCTTCCCAGCATTAGATAATCCTAAAAGGTGAAGAAAAGAGAAGATCATTCTCACTAGTCACAAAAGTCAAACAGAAATAATTAAGGATTGAGAAATCTACAACCTGAGTTGCATAGGTAGATTTACCTCATCCGAAGAACTTAATATGCACTGCTGGTTTGAAATGAACTTTGCAGTAGTTATGGTAGAGCCTGCAAATGGAATCTTTACCATGACCTCCCTTGGGAGAGAAGGTGGAGATCTAGATCGAGATTGCAGAAGATACTTCTCTATCAAATTATCATCATAAGCATAAATATGTCCAGATTTCCCTAGCAGGAGGAGAACATCAATTTTATGCTTGCTTTGCTCACTAGAGTTCACAATGATCTCCGTATCAATACAAAGTTCTGGTAATTGAAGTCCTAACTTGATTGTCCGAGATTCAGTATGCTCATTCAGTAACACTACCTGTTACACCCTAATCTAAATTATAGATTTCTTCTTCATTACGGTATAAATATCAGGATATTGTTTAGCATCAAATTACCTGAAAGAGATTTGTGGAAGCCATGTCAGAGGCTCCCAAAGCATAAAGTCGACTTGCCTTCCTATCAGCTTCAGTCCATCTCAGTGATGTGATTGGAATTTTTTCTGACTTAAATCCAAGATTTAGTTTACATATTGGAGTGCTCTTGATGGCAGTCTCAGAAGATATTTCAGTCTTTAGATTTAGGGTAGAAGGAATCCCCCATAGTAAAATATCACCGTTGCTATAACCAACAGCAATCTTACTACCAAAAGGACAAACCCAACAAGCAGATGTCACTTTCTTTGTTTCTTCATGTAGTGACTGCAACATATTTCCACCTGTTGTGAAGATAGATTTGCTTTCTCGAATGTCCCACAAGGAAATATGGCCGTTTCTAAATATTATTAGGATTCTGCATAGAGATTGCTTACAGGTAAGAAGAGGATTGGGGAACCACACAAGTTAAAGAACAAAGGCAGAATAAAGCAAGGCTGCCACATGTCCAATATATTTGACTTTGCAAGTAATTTTGTAAATTTTGCTTTAAAAAGAAGCCTTCAGGAATGAGATCATGAGAGGAAGCTGATAGGTTGTGGTTTTCTTTCTTTTCTCGTTTATTTTTGTTTGATGTGAGTGCATCAGTGGAATTTTAGAATATTGCGTATATATGAAACTCTTTGAGAGACTCCTGATCAGAAAAGAGGTTATTAGATTACCTCTTACTTTCAGCTGTTGGTTCAGGCAGAACATGTAACACAGCTGTATAGAATATTGAGTATATACGAAACTGTTTGAGAGATTCCTGATCAGAAAAACGGTTATTAGATTACCTCTTACTTTCAGCTGTTGGTTGAGGCAGAACATGTACAACAGCAGTATCAGTAGAGGCTTCAGAAAGATTTCCTGCAGGAGATGATGGATCAGAATGTATAAAAACTGTTAAAGCTGCAGTTGCTCTTGGTGTGAAAATGAATTCAGAAAAGCAACATGAAAATGTGTGTTATTTTATTGAAGTAAAATAAAATAGAAACAATTTCAAGATGATAATTTTCAAGTGCTTCATATCCAAAAGTACAAAACAAGAGGCCAAGGAAAAATGTTCCATCTATTTACTGGAAGAGGATGAACAGATTTCAAAAAAGGAATTGCACCACAAAATCTTACCTTGAGAAGCTGATATAGGAATGCGGTATTCCATTCGTACAATATGATGAGGGTCTTGCTCTAACTTCAAAACTGAAATGTTACCAGCAGAATCCCCAGCATACCTACAAATATAAATATCACAGTTCTTGCATCATCAAAAGACCAAGCGGATGTAAATTTCAACTGCTTCTTAGTCCTTTTTCATTGTCAAGACTGAACTTACATGTAGAGGCCATGTTGCATAACTGCAAAAGAGGTGATTTCCTCTTTAAAAGCATGCACATGAGACAACTTCTTCTTTTCTATGTCCCAAACCTGGTCAAGAATTTGTATGGAAAATAAATTTTCTTGGTAATTAATAGAGAAAAGAAGAACGCAACTGCTCATAACCCTCATGCAATGAAGTAAACTTAACTTGCCTCAATTTGGTTCTGTAAAGTAATGTTGAGAAGGATGCCTTGGTTCTGAATGAACTGGACATTAGAATTAACAGAAAAAAGAAAACATGATTAAGTAATAGTTTATGAAGGCATCCTAAGAATCTGTTGTAAATAAACTTCGAAGGCCTATTTTATTTTATGTATAACAGGGACAGCCAAAGAGCAAGGAACCTGTAAGAATTTGCTTGGTCGTTTCTCATCACATTCAAGTAAAGCCTGAGAATTATCTTTTCCAAATAGTTTAATTCTTCCATCCCTGGTATTAATGGATTTAGAGAGGGAAATGAATAACTCAGTTATTGATTAACAATTTCATATGTTTAGCATTACTCTTACATGCAAGGAAAATGTAGTTAGAACTTAAATCAACTAATTTTAACAATACAACAAAAGTAGAACAAGACACCTTTCACGAGAAGGAAATGTAGTTACAGAATTTTAATTGCAACAAAATTAAATTACAAAAAGAGTGTCTAATTGATCAAAATCTATGTCAACATTTCTTTTCATTTATATGACATCCATGAATTCATGATCTTAAAGGAGGCACCTTAAACAAGCACGAGAATGTGGATGGCAAAACTTACTTTGTAGAAATGGCTATTATATTTTGAATGGTGTCATAAGCAAGCATGGCGGACCCTGATGGAATGCCATAATGGAATACAACACGTGGGTCCACATCACTCGATTTCAACCCATCTGAGCTCCCTCCAGGCTGCATTAAATTATTTATTATTATAAAAGAATCATAAATATAAAAGTTTATGAATTTAAATTTAAAAACGTTACGACATTTTTATATAAAGTACAATAACAAATTAATCCAATCCATCTGAATCAAAACGAAAAATCTAGCTACAGTACACGTGGCTTGATCGCAGCGGCTTACTGAAAAGCCCAATCCAATTGACCCGAACTGTTTCTGACACAGACGTGAACCGAAGTCCCACGGAAATAAAAACCCCACCGCCCACCACACGTGTCATGCGTTTTTTCGAAATTTTAATTTTTTTGAAAACAGTTTGGAATTTAATTTTTTTAATTCAAATAAAATCAAAAACGAAATGGATAGATTCACTACGGATCCAAAATTTGTGGCGAAGTTTCTTAACCAAACCCAACTCTTATGTACTGACACATTGCTATTGTTGACTAATGACCAACCAACTCCGTTTGAATATCTCTGACACTTTTCATTTTTTTCTTTCAAACGACGTCGTATCGCAACTGCTATTGTTGCCGCTTTTCTTATATAAAGTAAAATCTGATAGCGCGCTAATCTCCTTTATTAAAGTTAATGAAAGATCGAGAAAGTGAAATGGAATCCGAAGTTCGATAATTTGGACTGCAAAACCCCGTTAACTGGAACAAGTTTTATAACTTTTGAAGATTTTATTACAATATGATACAATTTTTAAAAAAAAAACATGATGACGTAAAAATTTTAAATTTAAGTTCGATATGAAGACACCATGAGTTCCAGATTCAAAATGGAGAACTAACAGAATTGACATCAAGGATAATATTGATATTGTTTGCCAGAAAGCTAATGCATAATGCCTCGCGATTAGTGCCGCACTCGTAATCTACTCTACCAAACACAAAAACATGGAATCAAACTCAATTTTTTCTATCATGAAATCACTCTCGCACATTTATGTGTTCATAAATACGGCGTAATATACTCCACAACTTGATGGATCGCATCCTGATTTCCATCAGAACCAAACAAAAAATGCATACGAAGAAATTTCAGACGGAAAAATAACGCAGAGAAATCAGAACAAAGAGGAAATCAGTGATCAGTTGCCGTACCTTCTTTGAAGCCTTCTCTACCAGTTTTCTGACAAACATATACGCAGATTAATTGATCGACTGACCGGCCGGCCACGCTGCTTCAAATTTGATGAGGATTGCCGAGATTCCGTACCTGGAAAACCAAACTCTGCTTCGATATGATCGATCAAGACAATTTTGCCGGTTAGCGAGTGAAAGAAACGGTTGATTACAGTTTCCTACATTGGAGAAGACGAATAATAAATAGATAGAAAAATAATTAAGAGGCTGATCTCAGGGAAGGTACACGTGGACGACGATTAGGTGACCCGATCCATTTTGCTGACAAAACTTATTTATTTATTCATAATTGACTCCAAATCTCTCTTCGTTCAGTCAAAACGACAAACGAGAGAGAGCAATTTTTAAAAAAGAAAGATCTTGTCCTATTTGGACAAATAAGAAATTTACACGTGTCTTTCTTTTTCCATATCAGTGTGGGCCCTCTCGCTTCTCCTCACTTCATTCATTCCCCCCGGGTTTTAGGTTTTAGTACTTTTTATTAAAGATATTCTTAATTCAATTGTTGGGGGAATAAACAGATGCCAAGGAATTGAAAGGGCTTCACATGTCTTGATTTTCTTCCTTTATAGGCTTTTATTATATGGTAATATTGTATGGGAAAAATATTTTTATCATTCAAGGGGTTTCTTTAGAACAAATTAACAATAAAATTATAAATAAAATTCCATGTTAATATTTTTAAATACTTGCTAGAAATCAAACCATAACATTAGAAAAATACAAGAATAGTTCAAAATAATTTGAAGAATTTTTTCTTATAACCCTTAATTTTATTGATTTTCAAATTTTATTTAAATTTAAACACATTTGTTAAATTTCATACACACTTATTTTTTTAATATATATTTTTTTAGTTTGAAATGATTTTGTAAATAATTTTTAAGTTTACAAGTGAATTTTAACTTAAAATTTTAAGAGGGTTGCAATTTACTAGGATCAGATTTAGAAATTTAAATTTATTTTTAGATTCATTTGTAATTCAATTCAAATATAGTAAAAATCTTCTCTAAAATAATGATAATAAAAAAAAGAAAATAGGCTTTTAAAATTTTGAAATAAAATTTTACATGCTTTTATTTTCTGTCATTTTAATTAAATTTACTACTTTAGTTCAACTAAGAATAGATTTGCAAATGAATTTCATAAAATTATAGGTATATTCTAATCATAATATTAGAGATTTAGAAAAATTCATATGTGAATCCATGCTTAATAAATTTATTTATAAGATAAAGATTGATCTTATATAAAATTATACATGAAACAAAAAATAACATATTCTAAATTTTATATGAGAATAATGATTCAAACTTTGGACTAGTCGTTGCCTCAAATGAATCCCTAGAGAAGGACAAATGGGGAAATACCATGACATTTTGCTTCTAGTGCTGGTGAATGGGCCAAGCCCAAGCCCAAGCCCAATGGCGATACGCCGTCTTATAGTTGAACGCCTGAAAACTTTCTTTGCGATTGGTATAAAACCGCTGCTTACACCCCTGAGGAGCAGGGGAGGTTTTGGGTTTATCATCGTCGTTCTCAATACTCTCAATAACCTAAGCCGTACTTCCTCATTCTGTACATATATACATATACAGAAGTATTGTAATGGAGGTTAATTTGGGACAGATTGCATTTGGTATAGATTTCCATCCTTCTGATCAGCTCGTGACTGCTGCTCTTATAACCGGCGATCTCCATTTGTAAGCTGAGCTTCCTGTATTTATCAATTTTTTACGCTAACTTTCACCTAAATTTTCTATGAATTCAGTGTTTTCATCTTTTAATGTCTTTTCACTTCCTACAGATACCGTTACGCTGATTCCCAGCTACAGAGGTACTTAACTACTTCCCGTAAACATATATATGTATATTTAATTTTGTAGATATGTGTTTTTGCTACTTCCTAATGTTCTCGATGTAATGATTTTGCTGTCTCCTTTTCCTTACTCTTTTGTAAACCGTTGACATGTTAATTTTCTGTATTAGGTTGCGTCAAGTTCGTGCACATAGTGACTCCTGTAGAACTGTTCGGTTCATAAATGATGGACAAGGTAATCCATGTTTGTTAATCTCCGTGTTTATATGCTAGCTAAGTTTTAAATTTTTTATTCTCTGCGTTTATTGTTACCTTCGCTGTCTGCATCTAATGATTGATGTTTATGCATACTTGTATTTAGCCATTGTGACAGGTTCCAAGGATCGTTCCATTCTGGCCACTGATGTGGAAACTGGAGCCCCCATTGTCCGCCTCGAGAACTCTCACGAGTAACTAGTTTTTAGCTTCTTCTTTTGTGCTGGCTTTACTTTTTGTGTTACATTAAGATTTCAGTTGTAGGCCTAGCACCTTTCATGTCACATAAGATTTCAGATGTAGGCCTAGCACCTCTCACATCATACCCGGCTTTGTTTTACGTTATGCAGAGATGCCATCAATAGTATAATTAACGTGACAGATTCAACTATTGCGTCCGGGGATGATCTAGGCTTCATTAAGGTGCCTTCGATTCTAATTGCTTCTTTCTATTAATTTGTTTTTACTATATTGTCCTCATCCTTTCTTTTTCATGCTCAGTAAATCTTGTCTTACTTGGTTTATTTGTTATCCATGAAAGTCTTGAACATTAAATTAATAGTGAACGTCAATCGATTTCCTTCTCATGTTTGCTATGCTTTGGAACTACTCTTTTATTTATTATTATCTTCACGACTTGTGTAAGAGCCAAATTCCATATTTTAGCACAAAAACAAGCTCAAATAATAAATATTTTCTCCAGTCAGAGGCATTATTTTTTTTTTTTGCAGAAAGCCAAACAAAAGGAAACCTCTGCATTTTGTTCCTTAAATCTCTGTGGTTCAGGCAATATTTGAGGGCAATTTGGCCCATTCACTAGCCTCTGTTTATGAGTAGAAAGTACTGTTTATGAGTAGAAAGTATAAGTGCTTAATTTCGTCTAACTGGTTCTTATCTTTAAGTTCTGATTAAACTGAAACTTATTGCCTCTATGTCCGCAACTGAACAAGAGGAAATGATAACTCTCAGAAAACATTATCTTTTCCTAAGACGTAAATATTCTTTTTCATTTTACATTATGATATACCCATTTTGGGTTTCGTATTAACCCTCATTGATGGCATTGCATACTTGTAATTGAACTGTTCAAAGAGTAAGCTTATAAATTTCGGGTGCCTTTTATTTTTTACAATCTTTTAACATATAGTTTCATCTATTCAGGTGTGGGATACTAGACAACGTTCTTGCTGCAACAGTTTCAGTGTTCATGAAGACTTCATTTCAGATATGACTTTTGCAGCTGATTCTATGAAACTGCTGGCAACAAGGTAGTCGATCCTTCAACCATTTCTCCATGTGAAGGCCTATAGAGATTTTTGTTTCTAAATGAAGAATGAATTATGTACTGTCTTCATCTTTTGTTCAGAAGTTATTTTTTGAAGGTATAGGTTAATTTATGGAACCAAAACGGAGACAGTAGTATCTTCAGCCTCTTATGATCTCATCTTGTTTACAGCAATGCTACATCAGTGGCATCATAGTTAACTCTTTAATTAATACTAACATCACTGAACTAGTCTTTATTTTTTCAAGTACAACATAATATATATATATTTATCTTTTGCACTAGGTAAGAGTCAAACCTCTTATTGGAGATCAAGAAGTACCGTCTGAACACAATCAGACGTATAGTCTTTCTTTTAACTTTTTTGTGGAATCATGCACTAAGAAAACACAAAGGTGGTTTTCTTTGTTGTTAGATTGTCTTGCAATGAAATTTATAAACACAAGAAAAGCTGTTGATTATTCCTATTCATTCATTTTAGATTAGACGAACAAAATGAGAGGGTGAAATGTAATCAGAATCTTCATTGCACATGGTTGTTAGAATGGAGTGACTGCTTCTTTCATTCTTTCAATTTCATCTCAGTTCTAATGGGCTAAACGTTGCCTGAAGTTTTAAACAACACACGGGGCAAATTATATTTTGCATGATGTATTATGTCATACAGAAACCTCTAGCTTTTTAAAATTGAATGACAAGCACCCAATTTTTTACAAATTTTTGTACAGTTTTCTCTCTATTTCACATAATAAATCATACTAGCTTCTTAAAACACCTGAACAACAGATGATAATCATTTTCAGAAGGAAAAAATAGTTATGAATCTGTCTGTTTCTCATTGTATTCTGTGACTGTGATGTGATTTCACATGTAGATACATTTTTCTACCAATTTTCTTTGATATAACGAGCGTCAAGTGACAGATTCTATAATACTTCTTCTCCATCTAAGAAAACATTTGCAAAATAGTTTATAAAGTGGAGGCCTGTGCATGATACAACAAACCTCAAGGGAAATACATATTTCCCTGTAACATAATGTGTATTATATCATAGCATTTGATTTTCTGATTATCTTCATTGTGGAGAGACTATGGAAGGAGACTTGTTTGTTACATATGACTTGTCATATGGTGTTTTTGGATAATTATTTTTCTATTATATTTCTTTTAGGTTTCTTCTATAACAGATGTGAAATGCTTGATTGTGGACTTGCTTGCATATTTTTACAAATGTATTATTCCTACTGTGTTGACGATCTATTGTTCCACATTGCTTTTTTATTTTGTTCTTGCTGAAGTTTTGATGCAAGCCTCTTAAATATTTTTTTTCTTTTTTTTATTGTTAAGTGGGGATGGAACACTATCTGTTTGCAATCTTCGACCAAATAAGGTAACATTTTGTTTACTTTTTTCTCATGGTACATATATTCTTGTGGAATTATTAAGAATTTAACGTTTGCAGGACCTTTAGAACTATTTATAAATTTCATGGTAATAACAGATCCAAACTCAGTCACAGTTTTCTGAAGAGGAGCTACTATCAGTTGTGATAATGAAGGTATCATTCATTTATCATGCAATGGCTGGATTTCTTTGATTGGTTTGGTTGCATCTTTTGTGTATATACGTGGAATATGATACACCTTTCCTTATTCGTTTACACATTTGATTATTTGGACACAAGATATCTGGTCGACCATGGGACTAGTGGATCACATCCACAGTGCCAGAAGTGCTACTGGTGCCATAGTTGAGTTTGTTCAGTTTCTTTTGACTACATTTTTCTTGATACTAAGGTTATATTTGAATAAATGAATTCCTCAAAAAAGTGTAAAATTGGTGTTAAAAAAATTATTATGTAAGTATGAATTAATGGTCTATTTCATTTTTTATTCTAGAAAACTTATAACATTTAATAAAATACACATTCAACAATTCTTTACATGGTATCAGAGTTTCAGGTTAAGAAACCCTAAACTCTTTTACAAACCTTATTTGGTTTTTGTTGTCAAAATAAGAAAAAGCACAAAGAGAGGAGGCCAGCCTTTATAGCCGGCCACTTAGTCCAGCCGCCAGCCACCACAACCGCCGACTGTTAGCAGTCAAGCCAGCCTTCATCACTGGCTGCAACTAGAAAAAACTGAGTCGCAAGCCGCAACTCCTTCTCCTGCAACCAGCCATAGCCTCCTCTGCCATCAGCTGCACGACCTGCCCCTGCCACTCCTGCAGTTCCACAGTCCAGTCGCACCTATCGCATGCCATGCATATGCCTCTAGCCTGCTCCAGGTCACACAAAACTTGCATGTCCACCACTAGCTGACCTTCATAGCCAATCCTAGCCACTAGAACCTCACAGCAACCTCACAGCCAGAAACAGGCATAAGGAGCTGCTCAACAGCTAGCCACCAAAACCACATGCTTATACCTGTACAGTCCCTGTCCATCCAACCTGCCACAGCCGCACGCCCAACCTCCTCGACCGTAAACTGCTAGCCACACACAAAAAGAGTTATGACCCATCTTGCTGCGTGCATTTATGTCCAGATTCTCCTCTGCTCAGTCGCTCCAAGTGGTGATTCTGTCTAGGGTCACATCCGCACTATCTACTGATAACATCTTTCTCCCAACCTTTTATTTGGTGTTAATTGCCTCACAACTCTTAAAATATGTCAGAGGTTACATCCCAAAGTACATAAACAAATTCCCACATGGAATACTCTACTTAAAACAATAACGAATTTTAGCTAATTTAGGTTGCTTATCACTTCACCTGGAAGAACTACTTGAGTTGGTCACAATTAATTTGGATCATTCTCAAGGGAAAAGGAAAACTCAGCCACATCTTAGGCACTGGACCAAAACTAAGTGATGTTAACAGACAAAGGAACTAAGTCAAGGAAGAAATTATGGGCCTACTCTTTGATGTATTTTTTGCAAGAAGTCCAGAAACACCAAAGATAAGTGTTAAGATGGGAAACAACAAAATGAGATGGTTGTAATGGGGAACAAAATAAGATATCTTTTATAATTGTCTTGTTACAGCATACCAGTCTTATGGGACACCAGATGATTCTAATTGGAAGACAAAAATTTGATTATTTTTAAACTTTATTATGTTTCTCCATTTTGTCTGTATTCTAATGTCTCGTGGTGGTCAGAATGGACGGAAAGTTATTTGTGGATCACAGAGCGGGAATCTCTTGTTATATTCTTGGGGCTTTTTCAAGGATTGCAGGTAGTTATATTGAATATATAAATGTTGGGAAGATTGGGAAATGTTGTTAGTTTTGAAACATGGACAGACACACAAAAATATGAACAAAAAAATTATTGATTTTCTTCTTTAATGGTGTCCACTGATTATTTATTTATTTATTTTTTTCGCATTTCAGTGATCGTTTCGTTGATCTCTGCCCAAATTCTGTTGATGTTTTGTTGAAAGCAAGCAGCTTCTCTCTCTCTCTCTTTTCTTTTTTCTTCTGGTTGCAATATTGCTTTTCTAGTTGGTACATGTATTAACTCTCTGAACAGATGAACCTTGTATTATGAAATCTGTAAAATGTTTTATTTTAGTTTGATGAAGATAGACTTATTGCTGGATGCGATAATGGACTTATCAGGTGAGAAAGTGCTATGGCAAGAGGATATTTTCCTTCCGACTTTTATCATTATACTTATGATAATTTACCTTTAGATTGTATTTAATCCCCTCTGGTTTTTCTCTAGCCTGGTAGGAATATTACCTAACAGAATCATTCAACCAGTTGGCGAGCATTCAGAGTACCCTATTGAAGGCCTTGGTATGACATGCCTGTCCTTCTGACTCAATCATTATATGTACACTTGTTATTATTAATAGGATCCCTTCTTTTTAAACTGCCACAGAAACCTCATGCTAAAGCTACACTCTTTACCAATCAGTGTCTGCAAAATGTTTAACTAGCTTTTTGTCTTTGTAGCTTTTTCTTATGATCGGAAGTTTCTCGGCAGTATTTCACATGACCAGCTTCTAAAGGTACATGGTTGCCTCCCTCCCTCCCTCCCTCAGATGATATTTAAACATTTGGTGTGTTTTACAATATGTTCTTGTATAAGCGCATCTCTATATATTTTTGTATAGATATCTTTTAAAGTGGTATTGGGTACATTTTCTTAAATAATACTGTATCTTGTATCATGCAATATGGGTGCAGTTATAATGAGGAATTGGTACCTCTGTTAGTCCCTTTGGTATTAGTTGTAACGGGCAATAGGTATGTAGGTTCCATTTGGTTGGTCATGGCTGCAACTGCATAATTTGCTTATCCATTGCATATGCCAGAATGCATTGATTCTGAAGATGTTGTACAACCTATTTTTTCAAAAAGATGAGAATAGGGAGTTACATTCTCTGGATATCCTTTTAACTATTTCAAGTCTAGGCCTCTTAGTTTCCTGTCCTTTCAACTTGCATATGTTTTCCACTTTTCGCCAGTTACATACATTATAGTGTTATAACTAAAAGTCTATGTTTCTTAAATAATACTATATCTTGTATCATGCAATATGGGTGCAGTTATAATGAGGCACCTCTGTTAGTCCATTTGGTATTAGTTGTAATGGGCAATAGGTACGTAGGTTCCATTTGGTTGGTCATGGCTGCAGCTGCATAATTGGCTTACCATTGCATATGCCAGAATGCATTGAATCTGAAGATGTTGTACAACCTATTTTTTTCAAAAAGATGAGAGTAGGGAGTTACATTCTCTGGATATCCTTTTAACTATTTCAAGTCTAGGCCTCTTAGTTTCCTGTCCTTTCAACTTGCATATGTCTTCCCTTTACCGCTAGTTACATACGTTATAAGTGTAATAACTAAAAGTCTGTTTTGTTTAACATAGTTGTGGGATATGGATGAGATATTGCAAGGCTCTGAAAATAGTCTGAAGGGTCAAGCTACTGCAGCAGACAGTGACAGTGATGAGATGGATGTTGATGCTAATTCTCCCAAGTCCAGAAAAGGTATGGCCTTCAAGTTTGCATTCCATCTATTGTTTTTGGTTTATTAATTGTTCCTTTTTTAATATACTTTAATTCCATTAAGTTGTGTTTATTTTATGTCTTTTATATTTTCATTCAATTATTAGATCTTGATCAATATAGAAGTTAGTCATAATTTTATACATTTGATGCATAATTAAATTAATTTTACCTGCATCAATTTCACAATGATGCATTTGTATCTTTGTTTGTCAAGAAAAGAATCACTGGAACACCTAACTTGGATCGAGCATGAATTTTCTTTTTTTTTTTTTTGTGGTTATTGTCATTCACATTCCTATCTCATTTGTATTACATACTCATCCATGTCCTTGCAATATTGAAATTTTAATCAAATTCAACCATATTGAAATAAAACTGGAATCAAAGCACAATGGCTTTTACAAGTGGCAAAGCTGCTATAAGAAAAACATAAACATATAAAGCAAAGGCTTGTAGACAACCGCTGAAACTAGTTCTAATGCAACCAACAAAAAAGTTATAACTAAGAAACAGTAATCTTCTGGGTGATTAATTTTTATAGTGACTCTGCATCTGAATCCTTTCTTTTGCTCTCAATGAAAGAGGAAAGTTTGAGTTGGTTGTCATCTCTTTTAACCCCATGCATAGAATTAGAATCTACACGTAATTGCCAATTTATGAAATTGTTGTAGAAGACAATTGCCAGCCATCATAACTTTTATGGTCTAACTATGAATTCTCGATGGCTTTCCCTATTGCAGTTTCCAGGACTCATTTAATTCTGTTAACATTTTTGTTCTGTGGGGACAATCTGATATTTCTTACTCTTTTCTCTTCTAAGGCTTACACCAGAATCATAGATCTCACTGTGTGTCTAACTTACTAGTGACTAATTTTTGCAGGGACAAAGAGAAAAGCCACAAGTAAAGGGCATCCCACGGGAAGTTCAACTAATTTTTTTGCAGACTTATAGGTGAAATATAATCTTTTAAGTTAACAATGGTAGCTCAAATTGGTTTCCAGGTTTCACCAAGAATACTTTGGTTCCCGCACTTCGTTGTATGCTTTATTGGAAACATCAGGGGTGTGTATTTTTTGACTGGTAGCTTTTCTTGGCATGGTGGCTGCTTACATGTATTTTAGAGGTCATTTTGAGTCAGCTTATCGTAGGGGTTTGCCATTTGTTCATCTTTGATAAGAAATCAGCAGTCTGTTATCTCCAAAAAGGAGCTGTTTGTTTCTGATGACTGCCAAAAAAAAATAAATAAATAATGACAAGTAATAACACGATATAGTTCTAACTGTGAGTTACTCAAATCAAACTTTTGCGAATCATTGAAAGAACCAAAATTTTGTAAATTTACATGAAGATTTTTTATTTTCAAATTTATCAAATCAGAATTATAAATACTGGATTCTAAATTATACTCAACTAGATTAGAAGACAATGTTTTCTGTATGCTGTCTGCCAAATTGAGAAAGGCAGCAGTTTTTAATGCTTTAGTTTAACTAAAATTAATGAAGTCGTCTAAAGATAAGCTGAAGAACAAACCAAGTACGACTTTTAAAGATAACGGTTGCTTCATTCAAAATAAATTATGAAAAAGATCAAATATAAAATGTGCAAGCCTATTGTGTACATCATGTAAATACCGATGAAAGGGAAGAGATACACAGGTTCAAAGTCCTGCCCACAAATCAAATCCATCTTACTTTTCTAGCTCTTTACAAATCTCTTATTATGGATTTTGTATATAAAGCACATGACAAACCTCTTTCTGGACAACATGGGATAAAAACCTCCTAAAATATTTTACAAAATAAAACACAGAGCTCATGTCTTTTTATGCAGAGTAAAAATGCCTCGCCTTTCTCGCCTCAATGCGGCATTTCTTTTCAAATCAATCATATGTCACAAGAAATTTTCCAACAAATGTATTAACAGTTAATAATAACCTTTAAAATGACAATAATAAGATACCTCGAATCCATCAAGTAAATATTTGAGATTTGAAAATACGAAGTTGACGTTACACCCTTAAATCTCATGAATTCTGTTTGCATAATCTCCAACAATCATCTACGACAAGTGATTGCTAAGGGAATCTTCATCATAATCCAAAACTGAAACCTTCAGCGGTATAATAGTGACTAGCGTCGCAATATACCAAGATGTGTCGTGTTCCAAGAGCTCACCACAAAATCATGCATTGAAACAAGCATCATATATGGTAATTACTGCCCATGAACTATATAATTCTGCTTATGAACAACGAAAAAATTATACACAATTTGGTCTATCCAGCCTTCGCAGACTCCATCTTTTTGTCCTCTCTATCAGCCATCTTAAAATGAGGTGTAGAGGGAAAAATAAAGACAGTGGATGCAGCAGCAGAAGGCTGAAATTCAGCTGAATATCTCACCGTGGTAACAGTTACTTTTGGTAACTGTTGCAAACCAGAGGCAAGGGGCACGAGCTTATAACTCTGAATGTGCTCAGATTTTGGAAGGACAGAAACCGTATCACTATGAGAACCAGATAAAACAAAACATTGTGCATCTGCCAATGTGAATCTGACCTCTTGAAGCAACTGAGTTTGGTTCCGGACTTTGATGGAGTATGTAAATGCATCTCCGAGGACAGTATAAGGAGGACAATCCAAACTCACAACCAGGGGCGATACTTCCACATTTACATCAGGAAGTTTATATTTAGTTGAAACCCAATCATTTAACATGGTAAAATTAGATTGATCTTCTGTCATTGAATATCTTTGCCATTTTAAATGCACTGTTCCTAAAGTGAGCCTTGACAAACCCATCTTAGGGATGACAGTGAAAACCTTTTTGAACTCTTCCCCTGGAACAAGTGCAGAGCCTGTAAGGTCTTCACCTCCCTGATGCACCAAACAAGACTCTTCCTTGTCATTGTCATCCATATCTATACACATGGAGAGTAGTTTCAAAGGAATCTCAGAACAGTTCCTGGCACTAACAACAAGTACACTGGCATCATTCAGAGGTAGAGATGGCATCTGATCTGAATCGGGGTCTGGCCTGATCCTTGAGAGCAGTAATGGATCCTGGCGGAAAGGCAACATGAAGCGGTGGCTGATAACTACAGCAGTCTTCCCATCAATCTGTAAGCTCTTGTGGACATGAATCTTTTGTGGATTTACTTCGTTAATGTCAGGAGAATAGCCTAATGATACAAAGAGCATAACTGGTTTCGGCCGGTGCCACTTTATTTCTAGTTTACAGGACCATGATTCCCCTTTTGTCAGAGAAGGAACAGAAACCAATCCAAAAGATTGTTGAATTTTCTTAATCCTGTCAGGACCCAGTTCAGATTCATCTTCCCCTTCTGGTCCAGCAACACCAACAAGTTCAACATGATGACTATCCATAGAGAATGGTTCAGCTTCTCTTGGACTAAACAAGCCACCTCCTCTAACATCCACCAAATTGATTTTCAACTCGCCAGAGTAGACAGCATGCCCGTTGGAGGTGACAGTGACAGGCATCATGAAGTCCTCTCCAACAAATGCAGGCCCAGAAGCACCAAGAGCAAGATCAACTTGTGGTTCCGGTTCTTCCACCTGGATAGCCTTTTGACCAGAGAATGCTAGAGCAGGATCTTTTGTTGGAAGAGTCTCCACACAGTCTTCATACTTCCAAAGAGGTAAATCATCCATCGAAGCAAGGACTTTCAGCTCTGCAACAGATAGTGAAGTGCGGTCGTATTTTTGCAATGTCAGAAAGACATTCAAGCTTTCCACTTTGTTGTGAAAAAGTCAAATAGCACAAGTGAATCTAAAATATGTTTAAAACGTGGATGCATAAAGATATAACTGCTTCAGCAAAATTGTTTATTGATGATATACACAAACCAAAAATCTTGTAACCTGAAGTCAATGTAATGGTTGTTTTACAGTCAAAAGTTATTTATTCATATGCAAAAAACTATTTACCAGATGTGATTTTGTATGTCAGGCGCAACCACTTATTTGTAACAAGTGCCAGAGAAACAGCACTTTCTATTTGAAAACCCTGTCGATCTCCAGATGTTGCATCTAATGGGGGTCTTTGAGCATTTATAATGACAAAGTTACACTGAAATTGATTGAACTGGATTTCTAATTGATCAATCTCAAAGGCAAGGGGTAACTGAGATAGAAGTGAGACCGTAATCAAGGAGGAAGAACCAGGCCTAATTATCTGTTCGTGAAAAGCAACTGAAGCAAGAAGTACTGATCTAAGGGGACTGACAAGATCAATCTCAAGATGAAGTGGACTATCTCCAGTTAGTTTGAATTTATTTTCATCCTCCAGTGAAGCCAGCCCAGTTTTACCACATACGAGTCCAAAAACTTCCTTGTGAATACTTTCTCTCCCTGAGAGACTTGCAGGACCACCTGGACCACATTCTTTAAAACTAAGAGATTGAATACCTGTGCTAGCTGATACAGGTAATGCAGCCATTTCAAGAGAATACTCTATAAAATCTTTCACAGTGCCAAGTTTCCTTGAGCATTCTCGTAGGTAGCCCAAGACATTCCACAGCAAAGAGACCCATCCTTCTTGTCTATGCAAGTTTGCAACATCATCAAAAAACTGTTTTGCATTGCTGAAATCATCCATAGCAAAATATTCCCTACCTATCTGGAATCCACAAAGAGAACCCATCCGCCGGACTTTAAGATTCCCGTATGATTCAAAAGATTTTTTCAGCAAAGCAATGATTTCAAAGGAATCTTGGAATCTTTTCCCTTCTGCAATTGTGTAACGTGTGTACTCATCATCAGTAAGACTGCAACGGTAAATTTAAAATAAGACATAATTAATTACCCAGAAATTAACTAGAAATCGTTCCTCAAAATTAAAAACAAACAAATCGACAAACACTCTGAAAAATGGGCTTTTGGTAGATAAAAACATTTTTAGTTTTATTCCTTAAGTCCATGTATATTTAAAGATAAATCATGTCATGGTTGCAAATGAAAATTTTTTGGAAAATGATAGATTGTAGCTTCCCCCTTTCTTGTCTGATTTCTTTTGCCCTGGGCCAGGACTTTAAGCCATTTATTGTTCAAATTTAAGGTTTCCTGGTCTGAAGGCAGATGATTCTCTTCTGTCCGAACTCTCCATTCCTCTTGCTGCATTGGGACCTTATGGTAAGGACCTATTTGTTGAACCAGGTCATTTGACAATTGTCACAGGTGATCAGCTGAGGAGGGAGGAGTTTAAAGGCTGCTCTCTATCATCTTGTTTGGGAAATCAAGCTAGATGGAGGCTTTATGAGTGATTTCCTAAGAAGAATGTGAAGGTCAACAAATTTTTTATGGCAAACGTGGAAGGCTTTGACCTTTTTGAGGAGTTAGCCCTCTAGACTTTTCAGGTCATTGGAGCTCCCAGATCAATTTCTAGGACTGGAAAATCTCCAAAACTATATGGAAAGAAGGCAGGAGGTGAAATGGCGAGAGAATTAAAGACGCTTGAATGCTCGCTTAATTATGACAAGGGAAGCAAGGATGGTAGACGAAGCAAAGGAGGTTTATTTCTTCTATAATTACTGGATGATGATAAATTAAATGAATAATATCTTGTAATTTGAGGAGTGCGAATGACTTGGGGAAAAGGGCTAATCTGAAAATTTTCTTTCATAAATGGAAGCCAGTGACAATGTGTTTACGGGAGACTAAAATGGATGAAATGAGTAAGACTGACGTCCCAGTCTACAGCTCGTGAAGAGGGACTGACTTGGATTTTGAAAGCTAAGCAGGCTATCAGGGTTTCAGGCAGTACTTTGGTAATATGGAAGGAAAGTGGATTGGATGATAGGAAAGGTTACTGTCTCTTGTCTCTTTAGAAGGAAAGCATTTGTTTTTTGTTGGATTTTTTCTGGGTGTATGAAATTGGAAGGCAATTGTTTGGAGGATTTTGACAATGTTAGCGAGAGCGGTCCACCACCGGTTGTGGTGGGTGACGTCAATATGGTGCTCTAAAGTCATGAAGGGGTCAAGGATAATTTTTCTCACTGTTGCTCGAGGGAGTTTAATGAGCCTTGGACAACCATGAGTTGATAGAACAACCATTATCGGGTAGAGTTGGACATGTCCACATGTGGGTCAGCTCAGTTTTCTTTGATTGACGATCCTGTTCTCATGTTTA